GGAAAGAGGTACTTTTCTCCCTTTCTCACGATATAAGAACTCGTGGGCACTCAATGAAATTGCTGAGCGGTTGGGTTAGAACAGATAAAAGGAAGTACTTCTTCACCCAAAGAGTGATTAATACATGGAATTCACTGCCACAGGAAGCATGGACGGCTTCAAGAGGGAATTAGATAAGCATATGGAGCAGAGGTCCATCAGTGGCTATTAGCCACAAGATATAGATAGGGCGGAAGACAGGAAGGCCTGGCGTGATCTGGTCCATGGGGTCGCGAAGAGTCAGACTCGACTGTGCGACTGAACAACAACAACAACATGTCTTTTATGTTCTTATGTTATGTTCTTTTGGTCTGGGCAGTCATGGGGAGATTTCCAAGCGTATGTCCACCTGGGAAAACACTGGCCAGTAGTAGATGGTCTAGCACTACAATGCTTTTAGTACTAATGTAGAGCAGAACACCTGCCAGTGCTGCAGGTATACAAGTACTTTCTATTCCTGGAAGGTAAAGGGACTGCACAGATACACTTCATTGTTCTGGAAGGCTCTGGTAAGGCCTTAATCAGATGTAGTGGTGCACTTAAGAAGCCCTAGGCTTTCTTGTCAGATCATTCTTCTCCTGGTAAGAAGTAGACCTTAACAGCATTTTAAATTAATTTTAGATATAGTACAGTAGTAATTCCTAGGAAATCTTGTCTCAATTTTATCTATATTTTAAAACGTAAAAAATTTACACTTTCACCATAGATTCACTTAAAAGGATATGATAATATCCTTCACTCATTTCAAAGTCTGTGCGATGTAACTCAGCAATAAATAAGGCTAACATCAATGCTTCCGTCATTTCCCGATTTTTCTACACCGGAGGCAGTCAATTCATAACAGCTGCATTAAAAGTCTTCAAGGCCAAAGTAATTCCCCAACTCATGTATTGTTATTCCAATATGGATAAGCGCACTTAATGGCACCATTGAACGTGTTCAATCTAAATTTCTCTGAAAGATTATGGGAATGCCCCACTGTGTAGCTTATGCAGCTCTATGTTTAGAAACCGGGTTAAATTTTGTGGAATCTGGTGCATGGCTTACGACAGTACAATATTGGCTGCGTCTACATTACAGTGTAGACCAAGGGACCCTTAAACAACAAATGCTTCCAGAGTCAAACATGTCTAACTGGCTATCATACATTGAGAATAAAATAACTGCATTGGACTCTCTGTTTAAGCTCCCCTTTATGGGCACTTTTCAGATGATTAAATGCAGAGCCCTTGATATTGAAACACAAAGTCTTTACAGTTTAGCTAACAAATCTTGTTTCCCCCTGAACTTTGAGATACCCCTCACGGTAGGCTGATTGGCCCCATATCTATCCGGTATACAAGCACCGCAACAGCGTAGAGCCTTTTCTCTAGCAAGATTCAATTGTAATACTGTCAAAAATCTTGCAGGGGAGATATAATAACATAGTATATGCAGATAGACTTTGCCATTGCAACTTTGGATGCATTGAAACTGTTTCACATATTTGTCTGCATTGTCAATTTTATGTGCATTTACGTTTTAGATATTTAAATCCTATCTTAGCCAATATGACGAACCTTCCTGATGCTTTAAAAGTGTACTGTCTCCTAAAAGATTCTGTTCTGGAAATATCCATGAACGTAGCCATGTTTTTGCAATCAGCAATAAAGCCACGTCAAGGAAACTACCAATGAGTAATTGTTTTATGCAACACTATGCAATATTATGCAGTCGACAAAATGCTAGGCTCTATATGGTTTTAAATGTATATTTTTATAGTAATCCTCTTTTAAGGTATTTTTATGCCAATAAAGTTTAACTGTAAAGGAGAGCAATTATTTGACCCCATTAATGATTTATTGCCCAAAGTAAGCTGTTACAGGCTAAGAGCATCTTTGGATAAGATATTCCAGATCAGTTCAGTTTCCTATATTTGTAGGTTTTCAAAATCATCTTCCAGCAATAGCTAGTTGCCCAGACTGATGGCACTCACATTCTTAGCTAATTAATTATCTTACAACTTCAAATGCCATACATAGTTATCTAGATTCATGTATTTTCTTAAAATATACAAAATCTTTGTTAATTCATTCTTGCTCCTCTTCATCATGACAAAGAATATAAAAATAGGAATTACAAGTTTCTCATACATAAGACTGTGTCTTGGACTCCAACCAGTACGTGAGTCTCTGAAGTATAACTTCACTTCTGTTTTTAGTTAGATGTTCTTGCAATTCTCAGACACTTCTTGCCTATGGAATCGGACATATATCTATTGATATTATTATTTGTAATTACTAAATAATTACAATATTATTTGTAATTACTAAATAATTACTAAATAATTACAATATTATTTGTAGTTACTAAAGGCCATATTGTTTTATTATTCCTTTGTTCTTTACCCTTCTCCAAGTCTGTTTTGTTCTGGGACTCCTCATTCAGTTCTGATTCTGGCCTGAACTACAGAAGCGTTCTCAATGAGTTTCTTTCTGGTCAGGACCAGCAATGGTTTCTCTTTAATGCTGGTTATAACTATCCTTTAAATTTCGACTCTTAGTATGTTACATCAGAACCCATTTTTGGTAACAGGTATTTATTGGCAATATGCCCCGTGAAGCAAGAAATGAAAATATCGGGAACCAGGTTGATTCAAATTTGAGGTTAGAGGACCGTAAAATTTGAGCTCTATGTACTCATTCAGTTCTGATTCTGGCCTGAACTACAGAAGCATTCTCAATGAGTTTCTTTTTGGTCTGGACCAGCAATGGTTTCCCTTTAATGCTGGTTATAACTGTGACAGCACGGTGCTGTCATTGTTTTTCATGGAATTGATTTTTCAGTACTATTTAATTACGTCTCTTTTTTTTTTTAGCTGTGAAAGACCCCACAGCAGTGGAACGAGCAAATTTATTGAATATGGCTAAAAATAAAGATAAATCACAGCTGGTCAGGATCCCGCTTATTCCAAGTGCGTCAAAAGAAAAGAGAAACAGCAAGGACACATGAGCCAACAGCTATATTTAGACATCACAAACTAACCATGATTTAGATCAAGTTGGGTAGCCATGTTAGTCCGTCTGTAGCAGTAGAAAAGAGCAAGAGTCCAGCAGCGCCTTAAAGACTGACAACATTTCTTCAGATCTGTATAGCTGTATCTTCTTCAGATACAGCTATACAGCTAGAATCTGCATCTGAAGCTGTATCTGATGAAGTGAGCAGTAACTCACAAAAGCTCATACCCTGCCACAAATTTTGTTAGTCTTTAAGGTGCTACTGGACTCTTGCTCTAACCATGATTTGTTTGTGATGTGAATGAGACTGAAGTTCTTGCATTTGCTTCCACTGTCCCAGGCCCCAGGCACATCCTGCCAGGACTGATAACTTTTATCTAACCACAGTTTGTTGGTTGCTGTAGAATTTCCGGTTTGTGTGGCCGTGGTCTTGGCACTGTAGAACCTGACATTTCACCAGTAGCTGTGACTGGCATCCTCAGCTGTATAACACAGAAAGATGGAGTACTCTCTGTGTCAAGGTTGACATCCTTGACACAGAGAGTACTCCATCTTTCTGTGTTATACAGCTGAGGATGCCAGTCACAGCTACGGGTGAAATGTCATGTTCTACAATGCCAAGACCACGGCCACACAAACCGGAAAATCTACAGCAACCAACAAACTGTGGTTAGATAAAAGTTATCAGTCCTGGCAGGATGTGCCTGGGGCCTGGGGCAGTGGAAGCAAATGCAAGAACTTCAGTCTCATTCACATCACAAACAAATCATGGTTAGAGCAAGAGTCCAGTAGCACCTTAAAGACTAACAAAATTTGTGGCAGGGTATGAGCTTTTGTGAGTTACTGCTCACTTCATCAGATACAGCTTCAGATGCAGATTCTAGCTGTATAGCTGTATCTGAAGAAGATACAGCTATACAGATTTGAAGAAATGTTGTCAGTCTTTAAGGTGCTACTGGACTCTTGCTCTTTTCTACTGCTACAGACGGACTAACATGGCTACCCATCTTCATCTAAATCATGGTTAGTTTGTGATGTCTAAATATAGCTGTTGGCTCATGTGTCCTTGCTGTTTCTCTTTTCTTTTGACGTACTTGGAATAAGCGGGATCCTGACCAGCCGTGATTTATCTTTCTTTTGCCTTCTTATGACATGAACACATGATGCTACTTTATACCAGGTGGGACCCTTAGGCTGCGGTCACACACACTAAATAATCCACTTTCAATCCCCTTCCAGTGCACTTTCCAGCTGGATTTTGCCCGTTCACACAGTAAAAATCCAGTTGGAAAGTGCACTGAAAGTGGATTATTTAGTGTGTGTGACCGCAGCCTTAGTCTATCAAGGTCAGTGTTGTCTGCTCAGGCTGGCAGCTGCCCTACAGGGTCTCAAGTAGAGGTCTTTCACATTTGCTGCTGAATATGCTTATATTGACAAGGCGTTAAATACGGTGACATTTCCAGTTCATTCCTAAGCAGACTTTCACCCTTCTAAGTCAATTGAAGTGATGGATTTAGAAGGGTGCAGATCTCTTTAGGATTGCCCCTTTCACTGATGTTAAATAGCTTTTAACCCACCTAGTTAACTGTGTAGCTGCTGTATTAATGGTTCTGAGAGAGTAAAACAGTATATGAAAAGTCATACTATTTATGTTTCTAGTAAGAAAATCTTTTCTAAGTTACAATAAAACGATCTGGGGCCCTTTGGAGCTTGTCGAGAAACTGTACCCAGAAGCTGAGGAGATCGCTGCCAGTGTGCGAGACTTACCTGGACTCAAGTAAGTTGTGTCGCTAACAAAGATCTCTTTATACCCATTGAACAGTATTTGTGCCTTGCCTGCTCCCTGCACCTTTGCTTTTCTTGCTTGCATTATGAGACCTACTGGGATAGGGATCCATATATTATAAGTTAAATATCAAACATCAGAAAACTTCATTTTTAAAAATCTGCTTAAGTATTAAGCGGTTGCATGTATCAGATTAATTTTTTTTGCTAATAATACTTTATTGAATTTAACCAGAGTTTAACCAGTATTTCAATAGCACTATCAGAATCAAGCCATGATACCAGATATGTCTCCTGATTTTTTAACTCCTCCTCTCCTGATTTCACTACCCAGTATTTCCCAGTGAATTACAGTGTGATGGCAAAGCAAACAGAGCAAGTTCACACAAGCAATTTTACTTTCTCACAGCTCGTGAAAAGCCACTGATGATAGCTGAGAGCCCTCTGGAACAGTAATGGCATGCGGGTTGGAGTGGATATCGGCTGCAATTATCCTACCCTCACTCTTGCTTGAATGGAGCTTGTTCTGGAAAGAGTCTTTGGCTGCTTCCCCCTTCTGGTGGCAGAATAATTTAATATCTTGAAAACTGTTCCGAAACCTGAATCTAAACAGTTGGAGTCTTACTTTTAAATAGTTGCCTCAGAAAAAACAATGGTGCAACATGGTATCTTTTTTGTTAGAAAAGATCTGTTATGATTGGGATTTTATTGTCTTGTGTAGCCTTGCCGGTTCTCTGGCAAGGTGGGATACAAATTGAAAATAATAAATAGATAATAAATAGATAATACAAAGAGGTTTTTTGGGTGAGGGCTTCAAATTTCCTTACCAGAAAGCTGTTGACTGCCATCAAGACTATGGGTTTGATTTAAGGAGTTTCAAGAGGAGTTTCCCCTTGCGCTTCCCTGCTTTTCTATCTTGCCCTTCTTCTTACAGCCTCTTCCACACCTTGAGAAGCCACTTTGGAGGATAGGGACCCTTAAGAATGGTATGGGATGTGACACTGGGGGTTTTCAGGTGGGAAGGGGGAGCTGCAGAAATTATTCTCTCATCTGTTTACAGGAGAATGTGGGATCGACCTGATGTCTAGTTCATGTTTGGCTATTTTCTGAGCTATTCCTTTCCTTTATCAGGACTCCATTGGGACGTGCTCGGGCTTGGTTACGATTGGCACTGATGCAAAAAAAGATGGCGGACTATCTACGATGTCTCATCATTCGGAGAGACCTTCTCAGGTGAGGGCCAGTCTAGAAGCCTGTGAGGAAAATTAAGGTCATTTCCGTATCTGCTGCCATAATAGTATACTTGTGTTGTATTTCAGTATAGTTAGTAATGGACAGTAATTCAGGATTCATTTGAAGGTGAGAGAGAAAGAGAGAGAGAGAGAGAAGTTTCCGCTGATACAAAAGTCTTACAATTTAAGTTGCTTTATACCACAGCAGATCTGAATGTGTCACTTGCTTTTGTTACTTAAACTGAGTTACATACTTGTGTTGTATTTCAGTATAGTTAGTGATGGACAGTAATTCAGGATTCAGTAACACTTGCTTTTGTTACTTAAACTGAGTTATTGAAAATGCTCCAAGCCCCCAGCATAAACAAAAGTAGCACTGAATCGCTTACAGAATGCAAAATTGTATAGCTTTTTGCAGAACTCAGAACTTTTGTTTCTGTGTTCTCTTATGGATGGGGGGGGCGTGTGTCTGCTGAAGAGTGGGGTGCAGACGTGTACAGACTGTGTGCGAATGGGATTTGTGTTTGAGTTAAGCGCTATCTCCTGAATAGCCGCTCCCCCTCCCCTACCCCATTTCGATATTTTTAAACATTAGGCCCAAACGTCTTCTGACCGTTCTCTGTAGCCATGTGAGTTAAAAACTTTGGTTGATTCCAGACAAATGTAAACATCTTATATGTTTAAGTGTGCCATTCTAAGCAGTTATACCCTTCTAAGTACTTTGAAGTAAATATGCTTAGAATCGGTGTAACTCCACTTCGGACTGCACTATAACTCTATTGATATAAAGGAGTCTTAGGAATTCTTAATTTTGTTGGTTGGTTTGCGCCCTTTTTTGTTTGAAGAAAAACTAACTCTATTTGTATTCCATGGGAGTAGTTTCAGCTTCTATGAAGCAGCCCTATTCTAAAATCCATTGTGATTTGCCTGGTTTTTAGAATCACTTTGGATATCAGTAGTGAAATCAATTAGAGGATTGATTGAGAGGCATTTCTTTCTTTTAAAAAAAACCCTGTTCTAAAGTGTATTAAAATGTGTGTCCTGCTGTAAAACTAGTTTTTAAGAAGCAGTGTATTTTTGACAGTGAATTTTATGAATATCACGCCCTGATGATGGAAGAGGAAGGCGTCGTCATCGTTGGCTTGCTCGTTGGCTTGAATGTAATAGATGCCAACCTGTGTGTGAAAGGAGAAGACTTGGACTCACAAGTGAGTGAATACAAAGTTATCAGTGAGGATCTTGCAGTAAGATTTTCCACTTCATTTTGGAGATATGGAATATGTTGTTGCTTGAGCATGATGCTCAGGTAAGGTTGCCAGCCTCCAGGTGGGGCCTGGAGATCTCCTGGGAAGGTATTGCAACTGATGTCCAGAGTACAGAGATCAGTTCCCCTGGAGAAAATGGCTGCTTTGGATGCTGCTGTGGCATTATACCCCCTCCCCAAGGTCCGCCTTGAATCTCCAGAAATTTCCCAGCCTGGAGTTGGCAACCTTTGGCTAGGGTGGCAGGTGGGAACATTAAAAGCTTTAATGGGCTTCTTTAACATACAAGCATAACTTCTTGGCTCAGTTCAGTCTATAAAAGGATTGCTCTTCCCTGAACAAAATAGACTCATTTCCTTGGAACACAATGAAAACATGTAAGAACTGCTGATTCGTAACATTTTTGCTTCTACAGATGACATTGGTTGGGAGGGCACATGAGTAAATTCCTTGCTCAGGAAACATGTGGCTTATTCATGAAACCATGCAGAGGCACGCTGTTTGGAAGATTATCCTGTATGCGTTCTCCGAGAATAAAAGGAGTGCTCAGTATTTGGTCTTCATGGCACAGAGGATGGTGGTTGTGTGTGTGTGTGTGGGGGGGTGCCTTGCTGTAGCGGGTACAGCTGTGTTAGTTGCTATGCATGCAGATACCCACCAAGTTTCAAGAACATTGAACAAGGGGGTCCAATGTTCTTGAAACTTGGTGGGTATCTTGGGGAGAGGCTCCAGCAGCTACCCTGCGAGTTTGGAGCCTCTCCCTCAAACCCCTTTCCCTCCAGCCCCCAGAATATACCCTGTGTTTTTGCCATTGACTTCAATGGCCCATAGGATATAATGGGGCCGAAATTGACATTCGGCTGGCCGAAAGACTCCCCAATCTGCTCCTACTGCCGAAATCGACATGTGGGAGTCTTTCTGCTGGCCGAAATTGATTCTGCCCAATTGAGCCGAATCCGAATTGGACCAAAAAAATTTTTTTTGCACACCCCTACTTGTAATATCTGCGACACACCAAACAATTACATGATTGGCATGCTTTCCCCAGTCAGTTTTGGAAAATAGTTTCTGCTGTCAGAAGAAGACCAGTGAATTAGAAAGGTGTAAATGCTGGGAAAATAGTAAAATGCAACAACTTTGAAAATAGATGAGAAAGAGCCCTGTATTGTTGCTTGCTCCAGCTCAGGGAGATCTGGAAAGGAGACCACCAAGGAGTACCAGGGTCGTTACACAGAGGCAAGCAGTGGCAAACCACCTCTGAACATCTCTTGCCTTGAAAACCCTGCGGGGCCACCATAAGTCGGCTGTGACTTGATGGCAAAAAAAAGTGATGTTGGACTTTGATTAAAGTGATTAAATGAAGAACATCTCAAAAATAACTTGCTTGTTCTCTGATTCAGAAAA